GCGGTTCTTCATACACACAAAAAAATGGTGTAGAAACAATTTTTACTAAGAAATTGCTAGTAAATTTCACAAACAATTGCAAAGAAATGGCAAGAAACACATGGAATTTAACATATTTTGAAGTAGAAAGTACATTTTCTTGAAAAATGTACTCTGATAATCTTTGCACTATTTACATTCTTTTTATGCATTTACAGTATCTCACAGAAGTGAGTACAATTTTATATATCTGCTCACCAAATGAATCAAAGCAGGTGGTTGTGTGACTGAACAGTGTTAGTGGCAGGATGTGGAATGTTGTTAATATGATAGAAGATGATAGATAAATCTTGCTTATAAATTGTCTATCGATTTGTTGTCTTTTGATCTGCCCCGGCTCTGTACATGTGTTTGGGCTGATCCTTTTGTGAATGATCTCTGTTTTTTTTTTTGTAAGCTATGTGCCCATCTCTCCACACACTGCAGGTTTCTATGAGCTCGCAAAAAAAGGGTGTACGCATTGAGTTTCTTTGTGTCGCTGTAATAAATGCTAATATTTTTAATTTCTCACCTGAAGCTTTGGCATCTCTTTTCCTTCTTTAAATTGCACTTACGGTTCTTCATACACACAAAAAAAATGGTGTAGAAACAATTTTTACTAAGAAATTGCTAGTCAATTTCACAAACAATTGCAAAGAAATGGCAAGAAACACATGGAATTTAACATATTTTGAAGTAGAAAGTACATTTTCTTGAAAAATGTACTCTGATAATCTTTGCACTATTTACATTCTTTTTATGCATTTACAGTATCTCACAGAAGTGAGTACACCCCTCAAATTTTTGTAAATATTTTATTATATCTTTTCATGCGACAACACTGAAGAAATGACACTTTGCTACAATGTAAAGTAGTGAGTGTACAGCTTGTATAACAGTGTAAATTTGCTGTCCCCTCAAAATAACTCAACACACAGCCATTAATGTCTAAACCGCTGGCCACAAAAGTGAGTACACCCCTAAGTGAAAATGTCCAAATTGGGCCCAATTAGCCATTTTCTCTCCCCGGTGTCATGTGACTCATTAGTGTTACAAGGTCTCAGGTGTGAATGGGGAGCAGGTGTGTTAAATTTGGTGTTATCGCTCTCACTCTCTCATACTGGTCACTGGAAGTTCAACATGGCACCTCATGGCAAAGAACTCTCTGAGGATCTGAAAAAAAGAATTGTTGCTCTACATAAAGATGGCGTAGGCTATAAGAAGATTGCCAAGACCCTGAAACTGAGCTGCAGCACGGTGGCCAAGACCATACAGCGGTTTAACAGGACAGGTTCCACTCAGAACAGGCCTCGCCATGGTCGACCAAAGAAGTTGAGTGCACGTGCTCAGCGTCATATCCAGAGGTTGTGTTTGGGAAATAGACGTATGAGTGCTGCCAGCATTGCTGCAGAGGTTGAAGGGGTGGGGGGGTCAGCCTGTCAGTGCTCAGACCATACGCCGCACACTGCATCAAATTGGTCTGCATGGCTGTCGTCCCAGAAGGAAGCCTCTTCTAAAGATGATGCACAAGAAAGCCCGCAAACAGTTTGCTGAAGACAAGCAGACTAAGGACATGGATTACTGGAACCATGTCCTGTGGTCTGATGAGACCAAGATAAACTTATTTGGTTCAGATGGTGTCAAGCGTGTGTGGCGGCAACCAGGTGAGGAGTACAAAGACAAGTGTGTCTTGCCTACAGTCAAGCATGGTGGTGGGGGTGTCATGGTCTGGGGCTGCATGAGTGCTGCCGGCACTGGGGAGCTACAGTTCATTGAGGGAACCATGAATGCCAACATGTACTGTGACATACTGAAGCAGAGCATGATCCCCTCCCTTCGGGAGACTGGGCTCAGGGCAGTATTCCAACATGATAACGACCCACAAACACACCTCCAAGACGACCACTGCCTTGCTAAAGAAGCTGAGGGTAAAGGTGATGGATTGGCCAAGCATGTCTCCAGACCTAAACCCTATTGAGCATCTGTGGGGCATCCTCAAACGGAAGGTGGAGGAGCGCATGGTCTCTAACATCCACCAGCTCCGTGATGTCGTCATGGAGGAGTGGAAGAGGACTCCAGTGGCAACCTGTGAAGCTCTGGTGAACTCCATGCCCAAGAGGGTTAAGGCAGTGCTGGAAAATAATGGTGGCCACACAAAATATTGACACTTTGGGCCCAATTTGGACATTTTCACTTAGGGGTGTACTCACTTTTGTGGCCAGCGGTTTAGACATTAATGGCTGTGTGTTGAGTTATTTTGAGGGGACAGCAAATTGACACTGATATACAAGCTGTACACTCACTACTTTAAATTATAGCAAAGTGTCATTTCTTCAGTGTTGTCACATGAAAAGATATAATAAAATATTTACAAAAATGTGAGGGGTGTACTCACTTCTGTGAGATACTGTATTTTGTTATGGGAGACACCATGGGAGACAAATGTTTTTACACTTAAACAAAGATGAGAGGGATGTAAAAATGTTGACTATGACAGTGCACTACATGAAATTCACAATACCTATTGTATTGCACATCCAAAATACTATACAATAGATGTTTTCAGTAGGAAAAAAAAAAAAGAAATAGAAAAAAAAATCCATAATATACATCTGAGTGTAAATTGACCCTCTACACTTTCTGAATTGTACGAAAATATTACAACCAAATTGTGACTAGTTAGGTTTCTTGATATCACTGAATTAGTTAGAAAATAATCAAATAGTAATCAGATCGAACATCAAAGCAATCATTTACACCCCTATAAAAATGTCTTACACATATTAGAATCAAATTAGAATCATATTGGAATCAAATTGTGACCAAATTTCAGATTTCATGATGCACTAGATTATTTAGTAAATAACCAAATAGTTAGATATAAATTAAATATATACACATTTATGTAAATAAAAAGATACATTTATATATTATTAAATATATTATATATTTATATATATATTACTATTTAGTAAGCTAAATAAATAATTATAATTATAAATTATAATAAATTATTAAAAATGCCTCCAAGAATTGTTTAAATTTATGTGCCACTAAGAACAACTACATATTAAAACATTCAGTAGAGCCTAATGAGGCTGTAACTGCAAAAAGTTTTGATTTTTATTTATGATTTATGTTAAGGAAAACAGGGCCTTTTTGACCTGCGTGCTGTGCCGGAGACGGATGTCATATTCTCCAGAGAGAGAACGGGTCAGAGGAGGTCAGCTTTTAAAAGCACTCCTGCCTCTCTTCTCACTCTATGTTATGGCCAATTACAACCAATCCCCACTCTCTCTTTCTCTCCTTTGTCTTGCTGTGCATTATACAGCACACACACACACCATATAGAACACATAGTCATTTTTCAGCCATCATTAGTATGGCAGTCAGACAGATTTATGGGCAGCCTGTAGGGCCACAATAATACAATCAGCAGGCAAGACAGTACAGATGAATATTACGAACGGTTTTTCAAACAAATCCTATTGCGTTACAGAAGTTCAAACAGTACAAAAATCATATCTAACAGTTTGCTTTTGCCATAGCGGGTTCGTTACATGTCAGAACGGGCCTCTGTGCCTCGGCTGAGAACAGAAAAAATGAAAGTAGCTTCTCCATTTAATGAGTATTACATGGTCTTTTGTGTTCCCATTACACAGTAATAAAACATGGAGTGTTTATAGAGTAGACAAATCACAAAGGTGGGAAGTCTTCTTGTTAAGCAAAGAAGTAAACAAAAAAAGGTATTATCAACGTTTATTTTGTGTGTGATTGCGAGCTTGTGAAGTGTGCGTGGGGCGATCATTCAGGGCCATTTTTACAAGGGGCAGGGCTTTCCAACGCTGCTGTCCGAAGCCTCCGGAGATCTGAGTGGATCTATATCGCACCATCCAGGCTCGGGCTCCTGTGTTCTTTTAATGCCTTCTGCACTCACATTAAGAGACACCTAAGCCCCTGTCTGACAGCATGACTGAGCGAGGTAATTAGACTAAACACCCTCGGGACTCGCTACCGTGTGTGTGTGTTACAGAGAGAGTGAGTAAAAGTGAATTTGTTTGCTTAGTGTGTTTCTACATTTGTTCAGAGTGAATCTGTGCGCAGAGTTTGAGCACACGCCCGACAACCCCATCCGTCATGTTTTGGCCTTTCAAGCCTTCTTCGCCTCACCATATAACCTTTTCAAATTATGTCGATGTGTATTTCAAAATGAATCAATATGTCCTACTGTGGCCGATTGTTCGCATCTGCTAATATATGGACTTGGGCCTAATTTGTGGTTTGGTAAAATGACACATTATCACGAGGTGATCCATCACGCCATCCTAAATGACAGCCGGTCATCCTTTCTGCCCTGCTTACTGGTGTCATATGATTGCTTAATATGGTGAACATGACAAAGAGAGATTGAAGAGGATTCAATTTGGGTCACGTGACTGGATGGCGCGACTGTCCGTGAACCCATCCGTTCCCACTGCGCTCTCTCTTGGCTGTTTAACTGGGAAGCACTTAATACATTAAGCTTGGACACATATTTCTTGAATGCTAATTCAAAGCCACTCCAATCCAATCTGAAAATGAAATATAGTTAGATAAATGCGCAAATAAATTCTAATTACTTACTTATTACTCTTAGTTGTGGCCTAGTGGCTGTTTTTTAATTTGTCATGTAATCCTGGTTGATTAGCGGTGACATTTAGCGTTAGCTCCCAGCGCATCCGGCCTTTACTTTCATTAAGGCAAAAACAAAACGTTTAGAGCACAACAAGTGCCATCCTCACATGACACTGTATAGCAAAAAGGTCACACACCGTAGAACTTTAATCAGTGCTAAAGTCCTAAAGGAAATCTAGTATGCTAGTTCCCTCGTCATGCTAGCTCATGTCTGACAGCGTTTT